GTTGATCACACTCCATGAAGACATCAAGTTTAAATAGACTTACCATTGAGAATCGCAGTTAGGAATGATGTATAAATCACCAGAGTAGACACTTTTTTCTTTGGTATAGTGAAGGAAAAGAAACTCGTGTAACAGATTTGATTTATATGCTGTATTAAGGCCATATTCTGCTCTGATGTCAATGGAATATGTGATTAGAGATTGACAACTATGAATAGACAATGAGTGTAAGAGCTTCTTTGATAATTTAAGTGAAAATGAGCATTTTCTCAAAAGTTAATCATGAGTTTGGGAATTCAACTTGAACGGGATTTTGATGTTTCAAAGGGCTTTGAAAGAGAATGGACCTTTACTTTAAAAGAAAACAACAAATACACTACCATTATAAGAAAGTAGGAATCTATCTTATTTTAAGTATGGCAGGTTAACAAGAAGATAAATAAAAGATACAAGAATATTTTCAGGGGAAAGCTAAGAGAATCAATCAATCAACCAATGAGCCCCACTTAACTCCATTAAAAACTGAAGCATTCCATCTAAGACTTGGAAGGGAAGACACTTTATCACAGTCATTATCTAAGGAATCAAATAGTTTAACCTATTTGGAACTTTGTAGAAAGTCAATTTAGCAAACACACTCTTGAATGTGTTTGAACATATTTGTCCTGAGGTTGCTTTAAGATGACTATTTCAAGTGGCATGCAGATTCTTTGGGGGTTTTGATGTTATAGTTGAGGTATGCAAAGTAAAAGTGCATAACATTTCTTTCAACTGGTTCTCACATGACAGAAATGAGAAAATGAAATTACTCTTCTTTAAAGTTTTGCCACTGGGAAATGATAAGCAAAACTCCTCTCGACCCCTACTCCCAACCAGGAAGAGTCTGAAGCCCCGGATTATAGCACAGGTAGATATTAAAATGGAGACAGAGCCGTTATTTAGTGGTGACAGGAATATAAATACGTGCACTAACCTATAAACTGGTATTTACTTCAGGAAGGTAAGTAATATTTTTCCTCTGATTGCTGAGCTGTCAGTTTAATGCAGCGTAAATAAACAGTAGGTGCCTGCTAGCTCGAAGTAGGAAGTGTTCATTCCACACGAGGAACAGATTACTGAAGCCTGATGCTCATCATGCTGAAACATAACTTTCATTTTACCAGAAAATATACCCTACCGTGGATGATTTTTCGTGCCTGATCTATTAATTAACTTAACTCTGTTCTGTCAAAATGTAAACCAATTTGTAAAAATCATCACAGAGTTTTGGAGTTTGAAAACCCAATCAATTTGAAAAGCAAGAGTAATGACTGTTTCATAATCTGATCACAAATGCTAAAAATGAATACTTAATATAATAAGCATAAGCTATGTAAAAACCAAAAAAAGACAAAAACATTTAAATAACAGAATAATCTGACTTATCTACTTCAAGTCCTCCTCCTTTGCTCATTAAAAGCAACTAGCACCTTTAATATTTGGCAACCTTGTTGTAGTTTGATCTTTTCCATATGCATGCTTATTTTGCTCTGTGCAATATCTAAAGATAAACCATTCATAAAAAATTAAGCCACACTCCCTAATCCCAATAGAAGAATTCTGAACACTCCTGAGAGAAGTGGCAACTTTGGAGATCAGATGATGACACCCTTCCTAACAGCATTCATATAAAACCTGATTTTCTTCCCATTTTATGAATGCTAGAAAGCTATGACAATATATAGCAGCTACTTTTCCCCTTATATGTGAGTACCAAGCAAAGTGTTTTGTGGTATCATTTAAAATGCAAACTCATCTAAAAAGTATAAAAGGCAATTTGGGGAAGTTTCTATTTAAAACAAGAACCAAATTCTGATAACTGATCGATAGACTATAAAGGAAAAGAGGGGTTTTAAAAAAGATTTTTTTTTACATTCAACTAGAGTATGTCTAGACATCATCTAAAGATTGATTTCGTCACATGTATTTATGTACTTCATATTAATTGCAGTCATCCAAGACAACATGTATAGAAGAAATGATATATCTCTTTAAAGGGCTTATCTATGTATGGCTCTTCTGGAAATTTACAGAGCAGATGAGAAACCACTAAAGTGCTTTATAGAGTCCCTGCTGTATATCCATGTTGTGTTTAGCTTAATAGTGTTTGTAACCAAAAGATTTTTACAATAATGAGGAACAGGTGCCTGTCACCTGACCTTTTAGGCCTAATTTACAATCCACAACCTGTCACACACAAAAAAAATAATTGAAATTCTACTCTAGAAATTTCAGTCTTTGCTAATGTAACGTAGTGTTTCTTAACCATCACTCAGCACAACATATCTTATTCAATCACAGGCTCATATAGCTGGCAACAGACTTCTTGGCAGAAATAAACCAACACTCATTTTGTTGTTGTTCTTGATTAAGATGCTGGGAGACAAAAGAACTACTTTTGTAGGTTATCAACCAAAGAATATATTAATTTATTACAACTGAACAAAAGGCATTCCTCTTGAATACTTTTACATACAAAGAACTATTATTTATTACATATTTCAGCTTGTGGGAAAGTGAGGAATGCATTGATTCTGGAAATAACTATTCAGACTTTTGGAAGTTCTTTAGGTCTTCTTTATCTCCCCTCCACCACCACATTTTAAGGAGCTAGTTCTTTAGGAGGGAAATCCCTGTTCTTTTTCATCCATCATTTGTATTCATTATTCAGAAAGGAATACAAAATTGAGCAGTGGTTTTATTTCTCTTGCATAATCTTGTTACATGTAGCCATAGTCAAATCTAACAATGCTTTGGATTTTGTAGGTACTGTTTACATTTTATGTATAACATGTGACTGAACATAACTCTACATTAAAAATATTATTTCCATTAGAAAAGAATATAAAGTAGCAGGAGTCAAATGTGATGAAGAATAAACATATTTGGTATATTTATAAAAATGTATAGTCATTTAAGATGTACACAAATAGGATACATCTTTTGTTTCTGTTACATGTTACATAGTATGCATACTGTTGGAAGTGTATTTAATAATGTGCTCAAGCAAGTTAATTAAAGTATTTATAACTGGTGATTGTGTTAAACACTTGGAAAGGTAGTGAAAGATACAGTCAGTTACTTCTGCTAACTAAAGTTGAAATTATGCACTTATTATAACCTTTTCTAACAATGTGAGAAAAACAGAGTAAATATATTAAATTTGTTTCACAACAGATGCTTAGGTTGTTAATATTTAAGATGCCTATTCATGCTATTCCTGTCTGCACATTTGTCAAAAATGTAAGCTTGAATGCTAATGTTTGCCAGCAGACTGGAGCAGCCAGTATATGAATGTACTACTGTTCTACTAAAATAATATGCAATAGAAATAAAGGACTGCTGCTAAATCATAGCACTAGTACCACACAAGAGATTAATAAAGGTTTTTAAAGGAAACACCTCAACCTTGGCTTTCTTCAGACTTAAAATGGGAGTTTATTTATTATTTATTTATTTACTGCAGCATCATTCGACTATAGAATAAATTTCACATTCTCAAAAAATCCACTTTAGATAGGGTGTGAATTTCAATAAAGTTTCGACGGGTGAGTTACTCTGTCAACCTCAACAAACACTGTAAATTTCAGGGACTGCTTAGGACAAACCTGACACAGAGCAGAGGCGTTTTACTCATCTTGCTCCTCTCCTCTCTCCTCTTGGAAAAGTCAAGTCCTCTGGCCTCCAAGGATGCAAGCATGGAACCTCAGTCATTCGGGGCAGAAGGGTGGTCTCCAGGGAATCGGGCTTCTTTCTGTTTTCCCTGTCTCTTTTTACAACCAGGTGGAGTCCAAAGTCTTACACCATTTGCCTAGAAATTCGGTCTGCCGCTGAGAAAGTTCACTGAGGAAGGGCGCTGAGGTCAAAGTTGCCAACCAGGGCACTGTGAGAGATGACCCTGTGGTTGACACTTGTAAGTGAAATTTGGCCCTCGTGGAGGCCAGAGCCAAAACCTCCACCCAGAGCTCTACACGGCTCACCTCTCTTGGTCTTTGGGGGTCATCCTAAGAGGGTCCCGCTCAGTGCTTTCCTCCAGTATGCACGTGTTACTTATTCCCTGGACCTGCCACCTGCCTGCTGTGACCCTCTCATTGTGATTTCCCAAAACCCGGTTCTTCTGCAGTGGAGAAGCCCTCGGAGAAGGCCGCTGCGCTCCAGTCAGAACAGTAGAAAGGGAGACGTGCTGCAGACCCCGAGGCTGCACCTGTGATGTCCCGGCCCCGGCTAAGAGGGCAGCACTTCCTCCTGCCTCCAACTCAACTCCAAACCCGAATTCACGCTAGCAGCCCCTCCAGGGCCCACTTCCCCATAGCCAACGAGGGCTCTGAACATGAAGTGCTTGCAAACTCCCGGCTCCAACTTGAGCGCCCCAGTGCCCGAGCGGCTCCCGGGACCAAGAAGTTGCCACAAACTTCCCGGGTCCCTCTCCGCTGCCGCTTAAAACCAGTCGCGCTGGCCGGGAGCGGAGGAAGGTAGAGATGGATTGGGAAAGGATGCTGAGCCGACTCGCGATCTGGCGGGGGAACGTTTCCATCCCCCAGCCCATTCCACCCGGCACCTTGCTGCCTGCCCGGCTCCAGGGCGCACAGAGAGGTTCCCCCTTTTCCCCTTTGCTTCCTTCTGTCTTTTTTCGCTCCCCCTTTCTCTACTAAAAGGGACCATACCGGTGACCTGAATGAGTTTGTTCAGCCAAGATCTGTCCGGCAGGTGTGTTAGTGTGTCCACACCCTGAGAGAGAACGAATGGCATCTTCAAGTCCCCCATCCCGACCGCTCTCCCTCACTCTACCGACCCACCCCTCCGGGAACCTTCAGCGCGCGGGAGAAGGGCTTGAAGACCCCTGGCGCCCAGGAGAGGTGAGCTGAGCCGCCCCAACCAGGGGCGCCGAGGGTGGGTGATACAGAGAAGTTTGGATCGATTCCGGAAAAAGACAGAGACGTAGATAAAAGAGCATAAGCAGCATGGGGAAGGAGAGGCAAAAGAGCAGAACTCACTCAGGCATGAGCGTTGGGGGCAGCGGTGGCTGTCGAGTGCGGGCCCGAGACCAGGAACGGCTCCCCGGGCGGGCGCGCCGGCGTCGGACTTCCGAGGCGGCGGCTACTGCCTCGTCTGCAGCCGCCGCCGAGCTGCGGCTGCCGCGGAAGTTAATTGCAACTTGACTTCAAGTTGTCTTCTTTCCCCATCCGAAGTGGGCGTTTAAAGGGGAGAGCGAGGCGAGGAGCGAGCGAGCGAGCGCGCGGGGCCGAGGGAAGGAAGAGGAGAGGGGAGGGAGGAGATGTTAACGGGGGGGAGGGGGAGGGGGCGGTGGCGGGGGCGGGAGGGGGAAGGGGCCGGCGGGAGCTGCTCTCGGCTCGGCGGTCGCGGCGCCCGCAGTCTGGAGGCGCACCGGAGTGTCCGGGGCGCCCCCCGCGGGAGCCCGCGGCTACCCGGGGCGCGCATCCAGCCGCGGCGCCTTGGGCCGGGCACGCTGCGCCCCCGGGATCTGCGGACCCTGCGCCGCCGCCGCCGCCGCCACCGCTTCGGAGCTTGTGCTGCGCGGGCTGGCCGGCCGAGCGGCCAGGGCCCGGACCGCCTCCCTGCGCCCGCCGCGGCTTCTCCCCCTGGCGGTGGGAGCCTCGGCGGCCGCCGGCTATACTAGGCGCACTGGAGCCCGAGCCGAGCCGAGCCCGAGCCGCGCCGCCACCACCACCGCCGCCGCCTCTCCCGGGCGCCCTCCCAGCGCGCGGGCCGGGATTGGGGGGGGTGCGCCGGGCCGGAGCAGCGAGGGCGGGCGAGGGGGCGCGCACTGGGGTTGGCGCTGAAGACCGGACTCCCAGCCGCGAGGGGTAAGTGTGGGCGCTTGCGAGTGCGCTTGGGGGTGCGCGGCGCAGTTCTCGACGCCCGCCAACCCTGCCCCCTCACCTCTCATGGGCCCCCACCACGGCACCCCCTCCTCTTGCCGCCTGCGGCTTCCTCTTGTTGTTCCTTGTTTGGCTTGGCTTTTGGGGGGTGGGGGGGAGAGGAGGGGAGGGTGTAGTGTGTGTGCCAGCGGAGTAGGAAGTCAGGTAAGAGGCTTCGAAGCACCCCCCAACCTAACCTGCGTGGGGTGTATTGCTCCCCACTAGGGGCATGTGGTCCAATTTATTTTTCTTGTCAATATTCGGTTGAGATAATCAGTACTAGAGGGCCTCCTTCCCTTCAGCCTCCTTCTTGGCATTCTCATCCCTCTCATCGCCTCCCCCCATCCAGGAGCCCTGCACCCCAACTGAGGAGCACGTGGCAGAAGGAGAATGAGGGGGCCCTCTCTTGCAGACCCCCACGCTGTATGTACCTCAGTGCATTTGTTTCAGCATTTATCCTCATGGTAGCAGCTGTACTTTTCAACCCACTGGAAGGAGATGCCTAAGCTGATGAACAGTTTCTCCCAAGAAGCTGGGGGCAAAGAATGGAAGGAATGCAGATTTCATTAACTAGTGACTCTGGAGATGCGGGCTAGGGGAACCTTCCCAAATGGGAAAACTCCAAAGATTTCTGAAAGACCAGGATAACTGGAGGCTCAGAAACCCAGGTTAAGAAACTGGAACTGGATCAACCTTAACCCTCTCCCCACTGCCAACCCTGTCCCCTAGCTCTAAGGAAGCTAACAGGTCTTTTGTATTGTGTCGCCTTTGGAGAATTTGCATAGAGTATGACAACAGCAAATTACTACTGTTTACTCAAAGTTAAGGGGATTGCAGAAAGAGAAAACATGGTTTTTTACTTTTTCTCTTTGTATGCGTGTGTTTGGCAAGGAGTGGAGTTGTTAGGTTCATGGCATGAACTGCAAAACGTCAGTTTATAACAATAAAGACTGTAAAGCCGCCTAGGTATATTTTTAGAAGCTGTACTTTCTTGAGTTCCTTTCACACAAGGCTTGCTCTCATTAAGTCCCCATAAATAATTGTATTTAGAAGGAAACTATAGAAGCAGGAAAGAGATTGCTAAGATTTCCATCCTGCCAGTGCAGAGCACTGTTTGCTGGGAAGTTCCTGGAAAGTGACTGTGGGCTGAGAATTCAGTTTTTCCTAAAAGCTCTGTTAGGTCCTCTTCTGTCAGATGCCTATGAATAAAACACGCTGGGAAAATCCTGATATCTGTGCAGTCTTATTTTATCTTTTACACAGTGGTTGATTTGCGTTTCAAGCTCTGGTAACAAACACATCAACTGTGCTGTATTTTTGTGTGGCTTTTCTAAATAAAGGAGAATAGCATGTGCATTCATGCTGCTTTCTGATATGCACCCCCACCTTCTATCCAGGGATATTGAACTTACTGGAATTTACCCATCTTTTTCTATTGATCATCATTTTCTGCAGAGACAATTCCAAAGACACAATACAAAAAAATATGCATTAGTGTTCTTTTGGGGAACTAGCCCCCCTCCCTTTTTAAGATACAAGTGCCCATCTCAAGTTCTAGTGTTATAAAGCAGAGCAGAAAGATACAAATGATTGCAATAGGCAAAACAAAGTAAAACACAAGTTTTCTTTCCTAGATTATTTTCTACCCCACAGGTCCAAGTGATGTCAAATTCTTCTGCTTTAATTTACCAAAATGCTGAATTGCTTAACCAATAGCTCCATCTGAGAAAGACATAGGTTTGGAATTGAAAAAAAAATATATTCTCAGACTTTAATTACTGCTTATTAGTAATATCTTGTAACAGGCAGCTGATTCTCCAATTCTGAAAGCCTGAAATGAAGCTTAACAGAAATTTGAAATTCAAAAATAGAATTGCTGTTTTCTCACTTACATACTTATCTACATTCCCAAATTATCAGCTAAGCCCCCATAATTTAAAGTGTGATATACCCCCTTGAGTCAAACCAAGAGAACATTATGCCCCAACCTTTTGAATTTGCCCCCCCCCCACCACCACCACAAATAGTCTTAATCAGAGAGCTCATAGGCTCTATTACAATACAGAAGTATGTAATTCTGGGTGCAGTGCATTCAATAGCAGAGTTTGAATTCTTGGGCAATAGCAGAGTTTGAATTCTTGGCATATAGTAGGGGTTCATTAACTACATACTGAACTAGGATATTAGTGAAATATTGTAATTGGCCATAAACTCAATACCACAATGCTAAGACCTTGTTTGGAAGAAAAGAGCATCTAACCTGAAAGTTACTAAATTAATTGCTGTGGTCTGCATGTTGGTGTACCCCCAAGATTCATATGTTGGAACCTAACACTCAATGTGATAGTATTCGGAGGGGGGCCACTTGGGTGGAGTTGTCATGAGTGAGACTAATGCCTTTTAAAAAGAGACTCAGACTAGCACCCATGCTCCTCCTACCTGAAGAAGACACTGCAAACAGGTGCCATCTATGAAGTAGAGAACAGATCTTCACCAGACACTGAATCTGCCTGTGACTTGAGCTTGAATTTCCCGGCCTCTAGAATTCTGAGCAATAAATTTCTTATGTTTATGAATTACCCAGTCTAAGGTATTTTGTTTTAGCAGCATAGACTGGACTAAGACAGTAAGATGCTAGTGCTACTGGATTTTTAAAACAAGTCCAAATGTAACTTAAATGGTTGAAAGACAAGAAAATCTGAAACACATCAAATGTTCAATAATAGTAGCTAGTATCAAAGACTGTATTGATTATATTCTTAGAAGAATAGACAGTAAAATATTGCCTACTAAATAATATGAGAAAGATGGAAGGGGAGAGATAATACAGTATTGGCCTTCAGGGAACTTATTTGCTGGGAAAATGACATTAAAATGTGAAAAGACAACTCAATGGATCAGTAAAGGGCTTGAGTTGAAAAAAAAATTTTTTCTTTTAGATTTTTTTTTTCTTTTTAAAGCAGAGACAGTAGAGATCCTGAAGCTCTGGGTTGAAAGGCATTTTTTTTTCTTTAAGATAATTTGTCATTTTAAACCTTTAGGGGTCATTCAGCATAGACAACTTGAGAAAAGGGAAACTCACCACCTACTCCCCATATTGGCAGGGATTATATCAACAGGATGCTTACTTCAGGGTTGAGCTCAATATATATTGTATGAAGAAATGAATAATTTCCACAGTAGTTCATTCCATCTTTATACGAATTATTACATTTTTTCTTATACTGCATAGAATTGATCTTCCTGAAACTTCCAACCATTACTGTTCTGACATTTGCAGCAAAGAAGAGCAAATCTATTGTATCAGTTAGAATAGGCTGTGCTATGCAGGAGTAACAATTCTGATTTTTAGTAGCCTAGAAACAGCAAAAATTGCCTTCTTGTTTATGCTGTGTGTCTATTGTAGGTCAGTAGATCAGTTCCATGTCTTCCTACCCCAGGTCCCAGGCTACTGGAGCAGTCACCATCTTGGATGTTTCATGTTGCTATGGTAAAAATAAAGCTCACTCTGGAGAGTTTCACACTGAAAGTGGCCAAGAAATGACACACATCATTTGGGCTCACTACTGATCAATTAAGACTAGTTGCATGGTTTCATGGAATTATCATATCATCACAAGACACTGCAGCCTAGCTTGAACCCAAGCATAGGGAGCAATGGTACCCAGCTCGAAGGACTGCCAAACTAGCAGTAACCCTTGTCCTATCACAGCCTGCCAGCTAAACTATTAAAACTCATAGCCTGTGGCTCAAGTCTTCTTTTCTCCAGAGTATACATTGCCAGAAAAGCCACCTGGCTATAGGGAGACATAATTGTAACTTCTTTTACCATCTATTATCTCTTTGAATCAAGTGTTAAACTCCTACCCATCACCTACATGTGGCACCCTATCAATTTTAAGTCACTCTTACATTTACAAATATCACATACATTTTATTTTCTTTAAGACTTGTGTTCCTGTCCAGGGTACAATGAACAGGAACTTTTAACAACTGTTATCTGAAAATGTCATGATCATTATCAAAATTTACAAGTTGATCTGGAGTAGTTACTTCCCTTATTGTAAACGTCAAATGCTTTATAATATCTTGTAATGCAAAAAATTCTGATGGAAGTATTTGTTCATTTACACTACCTTTTGTTCATTCAATAACTATTCACACTATGCACACCTAGTAGATGCCAGGCACTCTATTAAGGACTGGAGGTATAGATTAAGTATTCTCCTCTTCAAGGAACACATTTTCCGTTTGGGCAGATAAACATAAAAAGTCATTACAATACTTGTAGAGGCACCAAGTGTTATGGGAACACTTAGGAAGAAGCAAATCGAAAGTTCCATGGAAGAACTAACACTTGACCAGGATAAGTGAGATTCCTCTAGATAGAGAGGAAAGTTGAAGGGAGGATATTCCAAACAGACCCGCTTGGACAAAATTTGTTGTTAAGGAAAGGCCATAAGGAATTCAGTGAGGCTAGAACCAAACAGCTCCAAATTGTGAAGGACCTTGGAGACACTCTCTGGAGTTGGGACATTACTCCATACATCAGGGATTGCAAACTTTTATACCCATCTGGGGCCAAGCATGGATATAAGCGAGCAAAGCAAAACAAGTTAAGACCATGAGCAGTGGCGGGGACTGCTCTAATCCCAAGAATATATTCTGTGTCTAAACCAGAAAGTAAATGCCAATGATGCCAAATATCAGCTCTCCCAATTTCTGAAGAAATGCTGAAAATTTGGATTTTATATGAAAATTTTAAATATTAAATATTGACAACTTATCCACATGTTTAAGTATAATGGTAGTCCTTAAGCTGATTTTGACCTGCAGGCATGTTTTAAATAGCTTATGTATATATGTGTGTGTTTCCAGTGAAAGTCGAACTCTTTATTAAAACCACCAGAGTGTATTTTAGCTCTATCTATTCAATAGCAATGTGCCTATACTGTCTTGGGGAAATTTAATTTTAAATTTTTTTCATTTTAAATTTAATTATTGTTCATTTTAAAATTTAGTCCACTAATCCTTATTCTTATTAGCCCCTCTCCTGCTTTGAAGTCATGTTTGCCTGCTACTTAACAATTAGAAATGTGTAACAATACTTCACACTTTCCTATAAATTTTAAAATATTAGAAACACTAGGTGTTCATTCATAAGGCATGCCTTATAGTTTCTTATAAGTTTTGTTCCTAGGGACATTCTAATATTATCCATTTAGTCCATATATTATTCTTATTTGCACTGGGGATTGCCCAGGGGTTCTCTATCACTGAGCTACATCCCCATCCCTTTTTATTTATTATTCTGACACAGGGTCTAACTAAGTTGCTGAGGGGGGCCTTGAACTTGTGATCCTCCTGTCTCAGCCTCCTGAGTCTCTGCGACCATAGGTGTATACCACCATACCCAGCCATATCTTTAGATTCTTAACAACTTGGTGGTACATGTCAACAATTTTTGTTCAGCTTTCTTGATTTTTATTATATAATTTATATACCATTAAACCACCCATTTTATGTATTCCAAGAGATTTCAAATACAAAGGGGCAGCATGGGCAAATTATGTTTCGAGCAGACTTGGCAGTAAATGAATATGTAGGTGAAACAGCCTCAGGTATTCAAGTACCTGGATTCTAATCCTACTTCAACTGGTTACTACCCACATGACCTTGATCAAGTCTTCTTATTTCCTTCTGCCTCAATTTCCTCTTTGATATGATGGAAAATAGCAGTGCTCTTCTCTAGGAGTCAATAGTACATGCACAGTGCTTCAACACAGAGTCAGTACTCAATAAAGACTAGCACTTGTTACTTTTATTATTAATGTCATTTATGGAAAAAAAATCCTAGGATCTGAATAGGAATAGAAGTGAATGGACTGTGTTAGGAGTGGGGTAGAAGTAACTTCCTGGATGAATCGATGGTGTGCTGGGGATACACAAGTCAAATAATAATTATGGCCTCTATTTCTGGACTAGTTTTCACTTAAAGATTTGAGAAGAAAATATTTTATTTCTATTAAAAACAGAGTTACACACTTGATGAAATTGAATGCGGCATTTTATGTGATTTTCTTAACAAAACACAAGAGTCTTTAAAGACCTTTTTGTCTGTTGGAGACTTGGGGAGTAAAAGTGGGTACTGCCTCTGCTTCCTTCTGCTGCCTTCTCTGTCATTTTGGTGCAAATGTTTGCAAATACTAGACCACAAACACTAGTAACAT